CTTATAGCTGCTGTTAAATTTTTGCTGTGAATCAGGTACAATACCAAACTCACTAGTTTACAAAAGAACTATTATGTTTTATGCTTTCATTATGCTTTAAGCTCTTCCACTAATATTTGTGGAAAGACTCAAGGTGTTAGATTTTGGGAAAGCATGCTTGTTTAGCCATTTTTCTTTCCTTTTACAAAATAAGTCTAATTGCAAGGTGGTATCATAGGTCAAAGGCCTGTTCTCAGGCCACACCTCACCTGATCCCAACAAGTATTGGGGCCAGGCCATATTACAAAAGAACATCATTTTCTCCTTCTTCATGGGCTCATGACTGAGCATCACCCAATTCTGAAGAATGCATCCCAGTGGGCTACCATTTGGTATACCATTCACATTTCTCATTTTAGAGGGATTTTTAGGGGTGGACACAACAAACAAGGTCTTTCTAGGGGTGGTGTTTAGGGTCTGATGGGTGTGGTGCTTGCAGGAACAGCTCCCCCTAAAATGACCAAGGGTGGGTTGTTTCCCGTAGATGTTTTGACACCAGCAAAATTCAGACAAGTAACCCCTGGATGAGCTGCTGCTGTTGACTGCTTCACTGTGAACAGTGAAGGTTTGCAAAGGTATGTTCTTCAGGAAGGGGTCCCTATGAGGCCATTGCCCATCATGGGCAGATGCCCTGGACCCTCTGTAAAATCCCCAGTCACCTGAGAATGTCCCAAAGGACTGGAGGGAACAGTGCCTCTTTTCTTCAGGGTCAGAAGACCCTCATAAAGTTATTTTCTAAAGGGAATTTGTTACAATCACCAATACACTTAGTCCCCAGACAGCCAATTCAATTTAGGTAAGTGACTTTAATAGACAATAATATACAATACAATTCCACATATAACATAGATCAGAATGCTAGCCAGACTACGAGGATTACTCAGAGGCAGACTACCAGGAATCCTCATAACCAAATTGCCAGGAATACTCAGAACTGGACTACCAGGAGTAACTCATGAGTGAACTTTGTATCCTGTTTCTAATTATCTTCAATGGTTTAGGCCCAAGACCCTCCAGGATCCCCTAGAATACAAGTCAAACTTATATTTCCAGGGGATAAAATGAGAGAATTGAGGTAAGGGATGGTCGCTTTCATCAAGTTGCTCAGCAGCCAGAGACATCTTGATCCAGAAGCAGTTTCTTTTCGTTTTTTTTTTTTTTTTTGTGAGGAAGATCGGCCCTGAGCTAACATCTGCCAATGCTCCTCTTTTTGTTGAGGAAGACTGGCCATGGGCTAACATCCATGCCCATCTTCCTCCACTTTATATGGGACGCCGCCACAGCATGGCTTTCCAAGCCGTGTGTCAGTGCACGCCTGGGATCTGAACCAGAGAACCCCAGGCCACCACAGCAGAGTGCGCGCACCCATCCAGAAGTGGTTTCTTTTTGAAAAAGTTAAAAAAGCGCTGAGGAGCCTGAATGCTGTAGCAGGATAGAGGAGTCTAGTCAGCCGAGCCTCCAGAGAAAGTGTTCTAGGCGGCCACTTAGGATCAGCAATGAGAGCTCGCATCCTGCTGAGGGCTGCAGAGGCTCAGGAAGGTGGTCACAAGATCATGGTCGCTTTGTGGTCTCCAGAAATTGTTCCCAAGCAAGCAGTCACTGCCCAACACACATAGGAGCCAATACTATGGCTCTGGCTTTTGAGAAAAGAAAGGCTTTATTGTGAGTTTGACAGACAAGGAGACAGGAGGCAAGGCTCTCTAATCTGTCTCTCTGATCCAAGGTTTGGGGGTGAAATTTAAGGAGTTAGGGGCGACTAAGCTACAGCTGAGCCAGTGTAAGCTGATTGGCTAGTCTCAAATCCATCCATTTATGGTAATCAAGCCACTTGGGCTGCTAGAAGCCAGATTTTCCTTATTTAAGAAAGATTCTTGGTTCTGGGGTCATCTAGGGCAATGGTTCCCACCGGGCACATGCACAGTGTTGTCTCTGTTATTGAGCAAGATTTAATTAATAAACCTGTTTTTAAGGAAGCAAAACTGTTTTAAGCTGGTTAATGTCTTATGTGCTTTTTCAACATTGCTGCACTTTTCAAAGACAAATGAGTTAGAAAAAACATTTCAAGGTATATTAACATTTAAAAGATTCGTGTCTTTGGGGCCGGCCCAGTGGCGTAGCGGGTAAGTGTGCAGGCTCCGCTGCAGCAGCCTGGGGTTCGGATCTCCGCGACGCACCAATACACTGCTTGTCAAGCCATGCTGTGGCGGCGTCCCATATAAAATGGAGGAAGATGGGCATGGATGTTAGCGCAGGGCCAGTCTTCCTCAGCAAAAAGAGGAGGATTGACAACAGATGTTAGTTCAGGACTGATCTTCCTCACACACACAAAAAAAGATTTGTGTCTTTTAACTAAACTGGCCTTTATCCTGGTTTATTTACCAGAAAATCTATTTGTCTACCTTGTGCCTTTCTGCTCATATCAGTAAGAAACCAGGTGACCTCAGGCTTGCAACCCTATTGATGCTGAATCATGAACATTCATGGAATTGCTTCAGAGAAAGAGCTCACTGTAAAGCTGACAGCTTATGCTCTTAGAAGCAAAAACAAGGACTGCCATACTGAAATAATAACATTTGACATTTGGCATGTGTATAGCTCATAGTAACCCTAGAAGAAGAAGGTTTATAACATCATTGCTATAGGAAAAATATTATTGATGCAAAACAAAGGTTCTGAACTGACCACCCAGAAATGAGATTCAGCAGGCAGCCATGATTTTTACCCCTTAGCCTCAGAGTGTTTGAAACTTTTGATTTCATTGCTTACATTAAACGTGGGGCAACTTCTTATCAATTCCCAGATTTCTTGCTTCTCTAAAATGCAATCTGACAGTACTGTGGGCTCACATTTCCCCATGGCAACATGGCTGTCAGTACTAAATATTGGGAGTTTCTTTGGTGCTGAGTGAGGCTTTCCAGTTTGTCACACCAACCCCTGTTGTCTCCCTGAGACCAAGGCTTAGTTCCCAGGTTTCGTCTTCCATTCATTCCTGTTTCCATCAGGCTCAACAGGACTGGGATAAGAGGGAGGTGAGAAGGGACTGTCCTCAGGGCAAAATTTGGGAGGAGGTGTCAAAAAACTCAGCAATCAAGTTAGATAATATTTTAGTGTAGTATTTTAATAAATAAAAATTAATGCAACAAAATCTGTGGTAAGCACAATGCCACAATGTTAAATAAAGACAAGATGAGACTCTTCACTAGCATGACCCTCAGAACTGTGCAAGTAGGGAGTACAGGCACAACGATACAAGTAATGTGAGTTTTAATATACCAACTCTGCAATTTTTCAATATTTTTCAACTACTTTAAGGTTTGAAAAAATGTTAACCATTAAAAAAATACGTAATTGGGAATGTAAATTGCTGTAGCCATTATGGAAAACAATATGGAGGTTCCTCAAAAAATTAAAAGTAGAACTACCATATGATCCAGCTATTCCATTTCTGGGTATTTATTCACAGGAAACAAAATCACTATCTGGAAAAGATATCTGTACCCTCGTGTTCATGCAGCATTATTCACAATAGCCAAGATATAGAAACAACCTAAATGTCCATCGATGGATGAATAGATAAAGAAAATGTGGTGTGTGTGTGTATATATATACACACACACAGTGGAATACTATTCAGTGATAAAAGAAATAAATTCTGCCATTTGCAACAACGGGCATAGACCTTGAGGGCTTTATGCTAAGTGAAAGAAGTCAAACAGAGAAAGACAAACATTATATGATCTCAGTTATATGTAGAATCTTAAAAAACCAAAAGCATAGAAACAGAGAACAGATTGATGGTTGCCAGAGGCAGGGGCTGGGGGAAATGGGTGAGGGTGGTCAAAGGGTACCAACTTCCAGTTGTAAGGTGAATAAGTATTAGGGATGTAGTGGGCAATATGGTGCCTACACTTAACAATACCGTATTGTATATTTGAAAGTTGCTCAGAGAATGGATTTCATCACAAGAAAAAGACTTGTAACTATGTATGGAGATGGATTTAAAGTAAATTTATTGTGGTAATCATTTTGCAATATAAACATATATCAAATCTTTATCTTTTATGTCTTAAAACTAATATACCGTCACATGTGAGTTATATCTCAGTACAGCTGGAAAATATATAAAAACATGTACACAGGAGTGCTCATTTTCGCTTCGCCTCAGGCTCCAATATGGGTTGGCATGGCACTGGGTCTTACACGGGAAATGGAGTTTGTGACTCCACTGCCTAGAAAGTTGATGTTTTGGGCAAAATAGGAAGTCCTTCTGACAAGTGTGGTCACCTTAAGATAACTAACTTGTGATGAGGAAGGTGAGCTTTAACTACTGCCTTGCAGCTTAGGTCTGTTTATAACTGCTTTAAGAATGGGGGACACAGTCACCACAGTTTTACCCTCAGAAGGAGAAAAGATGAGTATTATGTATGAATGGCATAGGACTTACGGTGACCTTTTCATTCAAGAGGCGGTGTGTGTGTGTATTATTTTCCTTCGCAAGGTATTTTCAGGTTTAAAATTTTTTTTTTTTCATAATCTGTGACCACTGAAATAACACCCTGTGACAAATTCAATTGGGTATCTAACTTCTGTGACTAAGAAGATGGTGAAAAACCCTGGAATACGTTCCTTTTTAGGACTGGGCAATATCCACTCATTAGAAAAATCAAATACTAAAAAGTTAAAGACCTCTTAATTTTATGACTCTGTTCCGTGCCCCATATATCCCTTTGGAAAATAAATATCACAGCTAGTTGAAAACCTCTTGCAATTTCTCGATTAGCCTTTAGCTGGAAAAAAAAAGAGACAGCCACAAAGAGACCGTTTTACGACACAGTGGGACAGCTTTAAATCTAGAAATCAAATGTGAGTGAAATAATTGACTTTCTAAAAGAAGACTCCTTGCTTGGATGCTGGTGTTAATGGGATGATTTTCCTGATGTTAATGGGTTCACTTTGCACAGGCAATTTCCTGCCATTTTGCTGATGCCAATTGCCACTACATCGATGTGAAGGGCACCAGTCAAGAAAACATTGAGAATGAAGTTGTACAGTTGACAAGTAAATTCTTAGAGGTTAAAGACATCAAGCTGAAGGTACGTTATACGATGTGACAAGGTAAAAGTCTCATTTTTTTCTTCTCTTCAGATGTTTAATAATTCTCATGCCTGACTTGATTTGAAAGTATAAAGTGCTTGGTTTAGAGCTCATTGCAGAAAAGCTGCTGACCCACTAGGAATGACAGTGGAATCGCAGGTTGTACTTGCTGCCCCAGTGTGGGGACGCTGAGAACTGTGTGCTGCTGCTTTATGACTTTCGGCTGTCCTGTGGCGCATGGGCTACTGTGTTCCAGGATGGACAGGTAGGAAAGGAAACAGAAAACAGATTTAGAGCAGAGGAGATGAAGGACAAAAGGCTACCTTCTTTTTTTTTTTTTTTTTAAAGATTTATTTATTTATTTTCCCCCCAAAGCCCCAGTAGATAGTTGTAAGTCATAGTTGCACAGCCTTCTAGTTGCTGTATGTGGGACGCGGCCTCAGCGTGGCCGGAGAAGCGGTGCGTCGGTGTGCGCCCGGGATCCGAACCCGGGCCGCCAGCATCAGAGAGCACGCACTTAACCGCTAAGCCACAGGGCCGGCCACAAAAGGCTACCTTCTGAATGCACAAGGAAAGGTAAAGGTTTGGGCTATCAAACATAGGCCTCCTTTATTTGTATAGAATAGAGGATTTGTGCATTTGGAAATCCAATAAGACTCCCAGAAAGCAAACCTCAAGCAAGTTTTTTTCGGGTCAGATTACATCTGGAGTTTAGTAAGAGGCATAGCTTGCATGTAGCAGAGATTAAAGATCACTGCTTCTTATCAATAGGGGGCATGAGACAACATTTCTTTTGCTTTCCTAATAAATAAATATCACTTGTAAATTATTTGTTTTTAACCTGGAGATATTCAATGTTGCTGCTGATCAGTAGACAAATATCAGTCAAGGCAAATAAGTAAACACAGTTGCTTTGTAGCCTCTGCACCAAGAGGCTGATCCTATTTTTTTAAATTTGCATTCGATAACCATACATGCATGCATTTTCCATGGGGATGACATGACTCCCAGGAGAACTGAGTGTAATGACTCTGGGCCTTCTAGTACTTTGAAGAGCATTGCACACCAATGGCAGCTATCACGCTGGTGGGAGTCATCCTCTGAAACAACTTCCCAGCTCCAGAATCTTACTTCACCCTTACCCCTTCTCCCCTTAGGATCTATAAATACATCCCATATAAGAAAATGCTCTGATTTCACATTTGAAGATAATAGAAAGTCTTGTCCTTCTCCCTTTGGCCAGTCCTTAAAATGCCTTTCAAAGGGAACATATTTTGCCAACGGTGGTTTCTGAACAACACCCTGAGTATTTAGGCAGGGAAAAAAAGTATACATTCTGTTTGAGGTTTGTGAAGGTTGTACTCAATGAATTACTTCCTGTATTTATTTTAGTTACTCTCTAAGTGATAGTTAATCAGCTTTAGTTAGTATAACTGTACTAGTCTCTCCTGTATAGCTCTTTGTAAGGTGCTAAAACACTTTCATATCCCTTTTCTTATTTTATTCACCCAATCCAATGGAGCAGTCCTTATAGCTCCATGGTCTTAATGAGAAAATGAAAAGTCCAAGAGGTTGGCTTAAGCTACGTGAGTGACAGAGCTGGATTTCAGAGTCTCGTCGAATTCTAAAATCGTTCTTCCCACCATACCTTGCTGTTTGCTCAAAAGTAAACAAGAAACAAAAATAAATAAGGAAGTCTAAATTGTTTTATTAAGAACAAAGAAAACAAACAAACGAGTCACCCAGGACATCCTTTTCATGATGTGATCTAGACAGGAGTGGACCAGTCAGGATGGGGCCAGCAAACAACACAAAGGAAAACAGAAAATTGGGTAGTCACTGTTTGTATTGTGAGAAGACATCACACTCAGCCGGTTGGATACCTGTGATCATCAAGACTGCCCCATAAAACATGCCTGACAGTTTGGGGACTCACTGTTTTAGTTTATTGAACACTATTTAGATGTTGGCAAGTAAATTAATTAAAGTCTCAGAGTATGGTTTATTTACTGACTGATATGACTATTGTGGAGATACTTTTTTCTATTTAACCATTTGTAGATCCTAGAAATCTACTTTGTCTTATGGTGAATAGAGTTGAAGTGTTCCATAAACTCATTCTGTTTGGCATTATTTCCAGGATCTTTGGAGATTTCGAGCTCGACTCGTGAAAGGAGAAAGAATCAACCTTTGAAATAGCCCTTTGCTAAAACTCCTTTAGAGAAAGTCAAAATGAAACCAGCTGTCTAAGGAATTGTTTTCTTAATGAGATGATGTTATCTTTTCTGTCATTGTTCACAAAATCAGAATTCGTGTATCAGGTACTCAATTGCATGTGGGCGATTCTGTAGTGCGGTGGTTTGCTTTATGGATGTCAAAACAGTAAAAGTGATATATTACTGTGTTAGGGAAAACTAAATTAGGGTTACATCTAATAAAGGTGGTTGATGCATCATTTAAGTGTGTTAAACCAGTTTCTTTCATTCTATAGATTTTTGGCCAAGAAGAAATGAAAGGTTTAAAACTCAGCGTGTTGAGTTTTGCATCAACAAAATATGGTAGCTTTCCAAAAACCAATTCTAGTAGTACAGTCTTGGGTCTTTACCAGGGAAGCCTTACCATTATCCAAGTGAAATTGTCTAAGAAGAGTGTGGCATGACCTGGGACAAAAAATTTCAACTTCTATGTCAAAATCATGCTCTCAAGATTGGTAAAGAGTATTTGGTCTGCTCAGCTGAGAAAGGTCTGAACAGCTGAAAGCTAACAAGCAAAGTTTTAGCCTGGGCCTGACAGTGTGAGCCCCAAGCTGTCCCTGGGGTACCCAGTCCCTAAGGGTATTTTCAGCACCATGGGCAGTGGTAACTCCAAGGTCAGGTACAGAAGACACACTCCCACCAGCCATGGGGCTTGAACACCCACTGGTAACAGGAGGCCCTTCTAGTTGAGGGCATCTGTCTCTCACAGGTGCTAAGGACATAGGGACACCCATTTTCTCCCACACCCTGAAGCCACTAGGCTGTCTGGTAGCCCAATGGCACAGAGGATGTATTTCACTACCACCAAAGTCACGTTCACAGGCTTCATTGTGAAGCTCACATTTGAGAAAAGAGGCAGTGAAGACATTTTGGGTTTTGAATCCTTGATATTATCTTCTCTTAGGACTTCCGATCCTCCCAACATTTTTCATGAATACTCTTTAAAACAATGGTGGTGAAATATATATATAGAAATATATAGAGAGAAAATTTGCCATCTGAACCATTTTCAAGTGTACAATTCAGTCGCATTTAGCATATTCATAATGTTGTGCAACCATCACCACTCTCTATTTCAACAACCCTTTCATCACCTCAAACAGAGCTCTATGTACATTGTGCAATGGCTCCCCATCCCTCAGCCCTGGTCACCATGATACATCTTGTTTCTACAAATTTGCCTATTGTAGATAGTTTATACAATTGGAGTCACACAGTATTAGTCTTTCTGTGTCTGGTGTATTTCACTTAGCATGTTTCAAGGTTCATTCATGTTGTAGCATGATCATAACTTCATTCCTTTTCATGGCTGAATAATACATATATACATTTATATACATTCATCTTTCTATCTGGCTTTTTGATTATCCATTCATTTCTTCCTGTTCCAATTCTCTTAGGTATCTCCATAGCAGTGGAATTGTTGGTTTGTATGGGAATTCTGTTTACCCTTTGGAGGAGCCTCATGGATGCTTTTTAAACACTGAAGGCCTAAGGATACCTCCTCGAGCTTTAATGGCACCTAACAATAACAGACAGTCTTGAATTGGCATCAGCAGCCAAATTCGACAATTGCACAAAGGCATTAGTCAGAAAATGTCTTATCAAAGACAGTAAAATCAGGACTTAGTCATTAAAAAGTCCTTTCTCTTCTATTCAGCCTTTTACTCTGAAAAATTTCAGATAGAAAAGTACATAGTATAATGAGTGCCCATGTAACCATCGCCCAGAATCAGCAGTTATCAAATTTCCCTACACTTTGCTTCATCCACCTCTTTTCCAGGCAGTTTTAAAAACATAACTTTATTTTTCAAGCTTATAAATCGTGGAACAATATAGAGCAAAAAATTACTCATAATCCCAGCAATGGAAGTTGACGATTATTTCTTTGCATGATTTTTCAGTGGTATGGCCTGTAGTCCAGTTTTGTCACATTTGTGTTTTGGTTTTTAGTTGTTACGTCTTTCACCCAGTCTCTGCATAAGGCTCTTCCTCTTTACTGGTTGTGTAGGGGAAGAGCCCTGAACTGGAATGCCAGACCCTGGTCTCGGCTCTCTTGGCAGCCAGCTCTGTGACCTTCACCTGTCTGGGCCTGATCGGAAAAAGATGCCTTTGGGCTCAGTGTTCTCTCAGGCCCTTCCAACTCAGACATTCTGTGTCTGTCACCAACGTACACAGGCACAGTTCGTTCACGTCTCCACAGGGCAAGCAGTTTGGGTTGATGGCTACCAAGAGAACTTGGTGGCTCTCCTCAGATCAGAGTCCTGTCCATCCCGACATGATGCCTTCTACTCTCCTCCCCAAAACAGGAAGGGAGAAGCCAGAAGGCTAATGAGCAGTGCTACCAGTGGCACCATGATGGCTTGTACTTTCATATCTCTATAACCACCACCACATCTGACCTGATCTTGACAGACTGCGAAGATGGAGCTTGAAACACACATACCAAGCTCAGGTGTTCAAGCAACTCTGTCCCCAGAAAAAGGCCCCTCGAAGGCTCTCTATTTGAGGCCTGCAGTGTCCACATACATGCCTCTCATTCTGATGGATGAAAATGCCCTGGCTTTCACTTCTTTGCAGATGATTTTCTGAGGTTAGCAAATGCCTGTGGAGCCTCATAGCACCAAACCTACAGTGGTTTCCCCTTGCTTAGCCACTGTTCCCAAAGTAAGACTCTTGTCTGGTAGTACACTGTAACGGACCACAGTAGAAATAAACGGTTGCATGTTTGCTTACAGCCTTCAAATAAACACGCTGAGTCAACACTGTGCATTACCTTCATGACTCTCAAACTGAGCAGCATCAACTTGTCTCCCCTGAGTGATGATGCTCCTCTCACTTCCTGGGGTGTTTGAAAGCTTGAACAAAGGAGTACCGCTCACTGCCTCCTCAGTGTGTATGAGCAGTCCGTGAATGAAAGAACAGGATAAGGTGACTGTTTTTGTGAAACTGTTCTCTGAGATGATCACGGAGCCCAGGTGCTTCGCACGTCTCTAAAAGAGTTTAAGGTTCAACTGTGGTTTCTTTATTGCATCAGTCAGAGCCAGGGTTACAGCAAGGCCAGTTGTAACCAAGACCAGAAAGCAGGGGAAATTGAGTTGGGCGTCATCTCCTTTTTTGAATAGGCCTGTATTTGTTGGCTAGTGCTGCCGTAAAAAGTACCACAGATTTTGTGGCTTTAAACAACAGAAATTTATACTCACAATTCTCAGTGAACGAGGTTTGGAACTTGGAGCAATGCACAGAATCCTGCCAAACAACAGAGGGATGAGGTGTCCTTCATGATTCACAACCTTCCTGTCATGGTCAAGATGGCTGCTGTGAGCAAGGCCAGTGGAAACATATTTGGCCTCACGCATGATAACTTCCCAGAGACATTAGCTACAAGGATCCTGGGCTCAAATCTGAGGGTCAAACTAATGAGCCTACTGGAAAGTTTCACGAGAAGGAAGAAGTCAAGTACATGAGCTTGACCCGATTCTGTGTGAGGTCAGTGTTATAACCTGGCCTTTGTGAGGAATGTTCTCAGCCCCGTCCAGTGCTGTAGCTTTCCAGTATCCTGCCATCCTGTGTGGGCTTGACTCATTATAAGTGACTTTTTTTAAGTCCAGTGTTCCTGCGTTTGGTGATAGGATGGGAGGGAGGGAGAACGTGGGGAAAATAAGCCATTACTCAATTTCATTGGAAAATTAGCATTTGAAATAACTGTAATACCCACAGGTTACGTTGAACAGGCTGTATTTTTTCCTTGAAAAAAGATGTCTAAAATGGCTGTTTTAAGAATGAAATAGTATATTGTATCTCCAAAGTGCCATTTTTCTTTTATTATTTTTAGAATTTTATCTTATTTTATTTATTTTTAATTTTTTGTTTATTGCAGTATGATTGGTTTATAACATTGTATAAATTTCAAGTGTACATCATTATACTTCTATTTCTGCATAGATTACATCATGTTCACCAC